CAGTATTGGACGATTTCAATTCGAGACGCTCCTCTATATTTAACGACAGTGAGACTGATTTGCTTGTTATGATCGAAGGTACGTTTTTATACAATCCTCGGAATTGAGAGAATTCACAGCCTACATGACATTTCACATTATTCCGCACCATATCATTCATACTCATCTGCATGCAACTCCTGTGCCATTTTTTTCTTCGGCATTCGTATCGAAAATCCTCCCATACTGATGTATGGCAGGATTATTGATCTGTAGCAGTACAGCACTGCATATCCTCTTGATGACGACCCATTGTGTTTCATTATTTCGCTTTTATCCCTCAAGGAGTCCCTTGCAGCTAAATAATTTTAAGAAAATTATATTATGCAAGTGGACTCTCTACAAAGAAATTCAAGGGACCAGAAAAAACCTAATTGTAGAGATTTTCGTTACAGAGAACCCCCAGTAACATGGGGAAGGAATCCCACGGGAAAAAATGAAAATATTATTTATACAGAGAAAATCGTTATAGATAAGATTGTTGAGTCCACCTGTAGAATTATGAAAGAAGCAAAAAATTGTAATTGCTTTCCATTGTAATTGATGCCAATTTTTATTCTAACATTTCACCTCATCATAACTGTAGAGGCAATATTACCTCTGCATCTAAGTAATGTCGAATATGAAGCGCCATTCTGTACTGTATAATATACATCCTCATTTTTTGGACAACTGTGCATATGTTTGTGAAAAGTATTTCCTTTTACATTATTTCGCTTTTATCCCTCAAGGAGTCCCTTGCAGCTAAATAATTTTAAGAAAATTATTTAAAAAAAATATTAAGATTATAATTTTAAGAAAATTATTTAGGATGCGGTGTACATCCCAGAAATCACACTTCGTCCTGTCATATCGCACAGCTCAACGAATGAAGAGACATAAATTTGCCTGCATGCTGTCGTGGGAATAATCATTATGTTTTCAACAGAATACATTGCAAAACATTTACATGCAAAAGGATGCTGTTTCGAATTCGCGAAGGAAATCGTTTCATATTTACAGACACGTCGAGTGTCACGACGCGATTTCCTAGGAACATTTCCAAGGGTGATCCGAAAGAAAATCAGAAACCCTCTCTTGCTTCACGAACCGAGATGTACGGTAATAATATTTCATGTCAGGAAAATAAATCTCGCCGTGGTCCGCGAAAACTATTTTGGCCCAGCGAATAAGCGCGGTTCAATCATCAAAAAAGGACAATAAATTTGTTTTCCTGGAACCGTGCGGTTACAAAAAGGAGCATAGAAAAATGCGGTAGAAAATTTTGTATGCAGTACTGTAAGGAGGTGTACAGAGGGTTGTTGCGGTTGCGGAAGGTTTTAAGGGTTATTGATTTTGTACGTTTGCAGCGGGCAAAAACCACTCACTCTCGGAACAAATAAGCATTTTTTTTTACTGGAGATTATCAATACAGTAACTTATTAAGGCAAAGGCAACTTGAATTTGGGATTGTGAATGAAGGCCTCGATCTATCCAATTTAGTAATCGTGTCCTCCAACAAAAACACGTTTCCGACAACGAACCTTTGGCATACGGATCAATAAAAGGGATTAAAAAAAGGCCCAAATATGAAAAATGTTCGCTCAGTGAACATGTTTCAAATATGCACTGCTTTATAAAAGTTAAAATTCGTTAGCTTAATATGGCATCATTTTTACTGAATAACAGCAATCAAACAAACATTAGATCATAGACTGCATAGAGCATCCATCAGTGATGCCATCCTTTGCATTTTTTGTGCTGCTTTGCTCCTTTGCAATGTTTTTTTTAGTGCTGTGTCCTTATGTGTTAAGGTATGCCGCCTTACCTTGATTCAGATAATTCACTCGAATCATTAAAAAAAATACAAAATTTATCGGGTGTAAAACCATAGGTTGACAAAATGCACACTTGCATAATTCCTTTTAAAACTTTAAAAAACAGAGAACCTTTTTCGTTGCAAAATTTTTGGCGCACGGATATTTGGAACAAATGTAGTGTACATTTGTGCAAAATTGAAATTTAACGGATTCTTGGGTTTTAAAAAATTCTTCAGGTATCGAACTTTCAGCACAAGGAATGATGTTTCAGAATAAGAGACTGAGTTCGTTAAGTTTCAAGTTTCCACTCATTGGAAACTCTTCGTTTGTAAGTACAGCAGTACAGTACAGTATGTCGAACTGCATACGTGAACGAATTTTGAATTTTGACCTACAGTATGTATACAAAACTTCTCAACATTTTCGGTGCGTTCTTTGTCCGGAACGATTCAGACAATCAACTTTGTGAGACATGCTATAGTTGACAGCGAAAAGCATGCATCGATTCGACACGTTTTCTGCACATCATATTCGAGCCATACGCAACGAAACCCATAATTTAGGCCTTTTAGAGCAACTGACTTGCAACTGATTGATTCCTCCAGGATGAACCAAAAACGAAAACGTTTCATGATATTGTACATGGTTGATAAAAAAGACCATCAGCAGATAATCAAAATTTTAATGACGGTGTTAGCTGGACCTGATGCTGGAATAATAAGTAGCCCGAGGTATTCGATTGACTGATCGAGGCCATTTCTGTTGGCTTTCAAACCCCGACATTTCCGGAGAGGCCATGATGATGGTTGTTTCGTCTAGATTACAACCATTAAATTATTGCGTCAATGGAGTTGGTACTCTTATATAGTGCTGTTCTGGAGAGTCCCCGATCATTAGACAAACGCCTTTGAGAGCCCTCGCAGATACTTTTTCGGGCTTTGCACCGGTTATTCAGGCCGCATATGCAGGACCGGGGAATCAGTCCGCCGAAGGAGAGAGACTGTGGAAAGAGCAGGTGAAACTGAAAGAAATCGCTCCTATTTGCCCGCGGTAAGCCACACTTTTCTTGGCGGCTGGAGGGAATCGGGCGGGGGATGAAGGCGGTTCAAGGTTGCTAATGACGACGGCCGACTTTTAGTTCCGGCGACACCGCCGCCACGTGGCACACGGGTCCGGTACGGTAAATATTGCCTAGCCATCATGGGGAGAGAGAGAGAGAAAAGAGAGAGAGCCCTCGTCCTTCAATGGGCTTAGGTATACTGTATACAGCTCCGCCGACTATTATCACTTACATTTAAGAGCATATACAGCAGGTGGGCTGTCTCGTCTATAGAACGAAATTCAAAAGGACCAGCAACAAATTCGTTGTGAAGATGAGAATTGCATCATTGAGAACCTGTATAACATGGGGGAGAACCCTAAACAGGGCCAAAAAAATTTCATTGTAACCAGAAAATCGTTGTAGGCAACAAGATCGTTGTGGAGGGAGTCCAACTGTGTATATCAGTGGTCTGCGGACCGGCGCCAGTCCGCAGAATTGTTGTGCTGGTCTGCGGGAAATTTTCTTGAATGTACAGTACTAATTTTATCAGAGGTAGAACTGAAGGTTTTCATCCTTCCTAAAATTTTGAAAAGACAATGGCAGTTGAAATTATCTGATGATAAATAAAAGTTGACTTTCCTCCTGGTAACACTTAAAAAAAAAATTTTCACTGGGTGAAATCCATTTTTGAAGTACTGTATTCATCCTGAAAAGCCTTTTTTTAAGCCTATAGATTTGTAATTTTTTGCAAGAAAAGTGTTGTTTCGAGGACTTCAAGGCAGGCATTAAAAAAAATTCTGCTGATCTGCAAACATTTTATGGAACTTGCCAGTCAACAAGCAATTTTTATGAAAATTTACCGTTTTGCAGGCCCAAAAATATTCGGTAACATTGGTACAATATGTATGAACGTTGTATTGTACAGTAGTATCCACGAGAGAAACCCACTGCGGAGAAGGCCGAACCCCGTCTTGATGACTTCTGGTCCGGGGGAACGAAACATCTTTCATATCATGGTAACGAATTTGACTAAAATACAGTAGTATGAGTACTGTATAGGAGTCCGAGGCCATGAGGGTGGATTCGTCCACCATTCCCTGTGGAATTGTAGGTGTATCGACTCTTCGATGCCAGTCGGCCTTTGTGCTGCACGAATCCTTTCGGCATCTGATCGTGACCTACTGTATAGTCCAACCATATACAGTAGTACAGTACCATCTAAAGGTTCGTGTATTCATCAATTCGAAAAGAGTTACGGTCATATATTATGCTCCGTAAACATCGCAGTATTCAGAGAACATCCTTAAATGCGAAGTACAGTGCAGAACTCAGATCATCAAGAAGAATAACAGAATCCTTCGCCTGAGAATTGAAGAAAATCGTTAGATGATCAAGCTGCATTGAGGATGACGTCACATATCCTTGCCATCATTCCTGCTAACCTTCAAGCGCAATCGACTGAATGTTTCAATATTAAAAAACTTCATTCCACCTGGAACAAATTTAGAAGTAAATCATGACAAAATTCAAAACTTGTGAAATTCCACACGAGTTTGTCCATTCTTGCTCACGTCGAAGTGCAATAAACTGGGTATAATATACTGTACAGTATTTGAAAAACTTCATTAAGCCTGAAACAAAAATGGAAATACTGTATATGGTCACGAACAAATCAGAATATTATATTAATCGCATACAGACTTACCCTACGAATCGGAATAAACAAAAATTAAAATGCCGTGTTTCTAGAGCTGGCTTCTCATTTTTACCTTGAACTCTGAATGATATTACTGTACAATCACAGATCGAGCCTCATACTACTGAAAGCATAATATCCCAGGCTAGAATTGGAAAGAGTAGAAGACAGTGATCCCACAGGCTTCATGGTATTCGGGCAGCAGCTCAATGGTGCCTCCCGTCTCATGGTCGTACAGTAGGCGCCAGGTTACCACATCACTCGAGGAAACGAACCTCTATCAATCAGTATAGAAATTTTAGTTGATTATTGGAACTCATTGTGACCACCAGGATTCGAGGAGCTGGCCAGAAAGGAGGCATCAAGAAAATCCATTGAAACCAAACTTCGATGACTGGAGACATGTGAATAAAAAGACAGAACATTTCCAACCAAATCGATTGTCGTATTACCTCATACCATCAAGAAACGAAACACGCGCATCACCATCCCTTCCATGCCGTCAACAACATCAACTCGGGAATGAACAGATCAACAAACAAGTTGCATCCGTCACCAACTACAGAAAAATTCATTCAAAAATCGTTCCAACGAATCTTCCTACCAACTCATCCATTCACCGCAATTTTTCCTTTAAAAAAAATCTAGCGGATCGTTCTCCGCTTCACTACAGTTTTACAAAGCGCTTTGCGAAAATACGGCGCAGGTTTTTCAGACAGGAAAAATACCCATTGAATGTCATGTGTCCCTCAAAAGCAAAAACACACGAAAAAAATCTGCAGCACGAACTTCTCGCACATAATAAAATCCGATCAGACGCGTCCAAGTCAAGCCCAATCAAAAATGCATCACTCGACATGAAACACACATTCCTACTCCAATGGAAACATAATAAAACAACCTTTCTACACATTCGATCCATGTACACTGCCTCTCTGCAAGTGGTTAGAAAGAGGACGCCAAAGAAAGTTCTGCCGCAAAAAAAAGGTGCTCGAACACGTTGTCAGTAGAGCGAGGAGCCAGACCGACTTGGGAACGATCATATAAAACTTGAATATGAGATCAAAACATTGTATGACTGAAAAACACCAGGAGCAATCGCCAGCTTGAAGCCCCAGTGATACAACTGCTGGTTCATCCAAAGACAGAAAAATTGAACAGAAATTTCCTCTTCCCCGATTAAGCCAGTCTCGACAAATTGTGCAATTTTCACAAATGATACAATTAACTTACTGGTGATCAGCGGTGCGACAACTCCAATCAATCTTTGGGCAGTAATCCTGCGGAAGCACTATCAAGTACGGAAACGGGAAAAAAGTAGTCTGCATCAACAAAGTTCGACCGACGAGACGGACATTTCAAAGCGTTTCAATCAGATAAACGAGGGGGATATTTCGAAATCACATGTGAACTGGGCGAAGAGCCTTACTCGGCAAACAAAAAGGCATACAGATTGTACGTCGCAAAAGTTCCACTTATGAAGTAATCGACTCTACATGTGTGCGTTATCCGAAGAAATTACAAATATTTCAAAAATAAGGAAATTATGGTGCTCCGCTTCAAATACATCGAGCCATGTTACAACGAAAGCAGTCAGGAGAGCAATACACCATTAATTACAAAGGTTTAACAGCCTAATTTCGCAAGGGCCTCAGCGTTGCTTCACACCCCTCTGACAAGCATTTGAAACGTTTAAAGGATTCCTTGGAGCATAGAACCAATCCTGGCTGAGGCCCTTACATCAGCAGCACTGGAATTGCAGTTGGCATTGTGCGCTAGGTAATGCGAGATTGCCGAGCATTCACGGCTCCGTAAAAATGAAAATATTCTAAACACTGAGGCTAATGAAATTACCGTCGTTAAAATTTCCTACAAACTTTGCCACAGATCCGCGCTCCACCTTTCCAAAACCCTCGTTTCTTTTCACAATATCACGGTCGTTTCCATCCAGCTTCCGCCTCACTTTCCAATTCGCGAACAGGTCAAAAACATAGTTTCTAGAGAACAATTGTACAGAGCACTGCCCTTACTTTCCCCAGTTTACAGAACAGATTAAAATGAGAAACAGAGTTCTTTGGCTTGAGAATCTGAACAAAACGGCATGATCACGTTTGAGCTTCTGCTCCGAGCAATACCAAGGCATTAATTCTAGGCTTTTGAGAATGTTCAAGGCTCTACCCGGAGAGAACGTAGTTAGAAATAGTACACAATGAGATCTTCCATCTCAACAATCTTCTGCCGAACAATGGGCCAAATGCAGAGAGCAACCATCATTTAAACGCTTTCAGGCCTCTCTCACGTACGCATCCAGAAGGTTGTTCTCCGTTTCACACTCTCAAAAAGGCGCAGTCATTCTAGTCCCAAATACTCGTCTTCCGGTGGTCGAAAAAAAAGTACACAACCCACCAGTCATGTTCCATCAATCGCACAGTTCGTTCCTCACTATCGTATTGTCCGAGTATCGCTTACATGTAAGCTGATTGGACGCTGCCGGCAGCCGCGACTGCCGCCATCAGCGTCGACATGTCCCCGGCGTGATGATGCATTTGCATTCCGTTCGTGTTCCCGTTCCCGCCGCCGTTCTGATTCACCGACGCGATCGTGTTGTTGTTAATGGTTGTCCCGCTGTTGCTGACGCCAGATGACAATAGACTTCGCATGGCTGGTCCACTACTCGGTCCAGTCGTCAGTCTTTGCATGGCATTCGGAACTTGTCCTCCGGCCATTCCCATCAGACCTGCAGGCAACAACATTTTCACATTGAAAAACGTTCAACTGCTTTCTAAGATTTATTTTCAACACGCCAAGACAATTGCCACACTGGACTTCTTGAAGCTAGAGGAATCCTGAAAATTTGAATTCCCAGAAGCCCAACCTTATGAAGGAAACGCGAAGTTTGGTACAATGAAACATACAAGGTACCCAACAAGTTACTGTGCAGTAAAGTAGTGTGTCCCACGGTTCCACAATCAACGCGTGGAAATTGTCTTCAGGTCTCCGGGAGACAATTTTGACATTTAAAAAGGAGAAAAGCTGGAACATCTTGCAGTCCGTGAAACTTGGAAGAAATTAAAAACTGCACAAGAACATCTTGGGTACGAGCTGCTTCTGTCTTCGCATTCGTTCACGGGATTTGCGAAGATGAGCTGATTCAGTCTGATGGGCTTCCAATGATAATACAGTACTCCCAACTTTCAGTTACAGTCGTTGAACGGTGCCACAAATGCATAATTTGTCTATGGCTCATGAAAGGCACACAAGTGGGATCTATTAACAGAAATCTTCAAATGAACGAAAAATAATATTTTATATAGAGAATATCGCTGTACAGGAGCTGATTTCATTTTACATTTAATCAAGGTCTGACGGGAGATATAATAGTGAAGCATGAATAAAGCGGCAAACTAAACGATGAAATATTCTCAAAAAGTCGAAAAAAAAGTAAGAACAAGGAGATGCAGAAAAATCAAAAGAAACTCGAATACGACAAACCTCCGGGGCTCGTAGAAGAGGGAGACGGAACTACAGGTCCATTTCCTCCTCCAGTCGTCGGTGGCATCGCGCTTTTCATGAAATACTTCTCAAGCTTGGCTAAAATGTGTTTCCCATACGTGAACTTGCGGAGCGTGGCGACGTGTGGACGGATGCGGTTCATAAGAAGTTTCCTTTGACCTGGCTCAGCCAGGTCCAGCATTTTCTGCACAACATAATTGGCGTATTGATCCTTCATCATGAGCTGGAGCGGGCCGGATGCAGCAGCGGCGGCATCAACGCCGACCGATTCGACCAACACGTTCCCGGAATTCACGCTGCCGCTGCAAACTTCATCAACGAGCTGGATTCGTTCGGCACGCGTCGCGTACTGAATGCATTTCTCCACAACGTTGGAAGCAAACTTGTGCTGCGACAGCGGCAAAACTTTCCCGCGGACCACGGCCATGATTTTAGCTTTGTCTTCCGGATTCCCGTGCTCAAGAACATGTTGAACGACATAGTTGCCGTATTGATCTTGTATCAGCTGTTCCGTGTGATGATGCAGCTCTTCCAAAACGGGAGCAGTTTGGTCCGGTGAGCAGTGCTCCAAAATGCGCTGGATGACACGACAGCCGTACGGGTGCGTGCTGAGAGCATACACTTGACCCGCAAAGGCATTAATGATGAACTGCAATGCCTGAGGGTCCACGCATTCGATGCACTTCTGCACCACATGATTCCCATTCTGATCCTTGACGCACTTCAGCACGTGTCCATCCAATTCCTTGACCAATTCTTGCTGTAGATCGTTAGGGATAGTCTCCAGGGCCTTCTGTATCACGCGACATCCGTACATCTGCAAAGCGAGCTGCACGACGTTTCCTCTTACTTTCTGGGCAAGTGTGGCCTTTTGCTCTGGTGAGCCGTATTCGAAGAACTTCTGAATCACGTAATTGCCAAATACGTCCGTCATCAGATTGTAGGCCTGCGGCAATATCTCGGAAAAGACCATATGTTTTTCTGCTGGGGTTGCCCTCTCCAACTTCTGCTGAATGTAACGGGACCCGTGTTGATCTTGAGAGAACTCCACCATGTGAGAAGTCATCTCACGAAACGAGAGATTTGAAAAACGATTGTTCCTGTAGAAGAATCGACGATTATTCACAGTCGATACGCTTAAAAATATACGCGGAAAAGGCATCAGACTTTTTTTTTTAGTTACAAGAGTCACCAAGAGAAGAATTACGGGGTGTGACTCTACCAGAAATAAATTTTCTCGATATGCAAAATTCTTTTATGATGCTATACTAGCAGACTTTCAACGCTATATGTAGCTCCTCTCAAACAAAATTTTCTTCGGTGTGCAATACACGAAAAAGGAGTAATACGTGGACAGTCCAGCTAAATTATCAAGGGAAATATCGAATACACAATGCAAAGAGATATTTAAAATTGAAAATAAAATTACAATAAGAAGGCTTTCAAATTCGAATCCTTTTTTTTGCGCTATGTCGGATTCACTTTAAACTGCAGTACTGTAATTCGAACCTCCAACTGTGTCACAGATAACTGCCCTGAATATACTCTAAATCTCAAATTTCAGAAGTACAGTAGTCTGAAAAACGCACAAAAGAAAATGATGTATTGACGAACCTAAAATCCTCCAGCAAGCGACTACGACCCGGCAACGATTTATGGTCAGCCGAATGCGAAAATCCCGCACCCTGTCCACCGCCACCGCGACGGACGCCCGGGGCCATTCCACCAGATGAAACGCCTGCGGCGGCAGCTGCAGCCGCTGCAGCAGCAGCCATCATCGTACTCGGTGCAAATACATTTGGACTCCAAGTCATATTACCCTGCACATCAGGGTATCCGTTTGCTGCCATGTTTGATGCAGCAGCCGCTGCTAGGTTGAAGTAATTGTTCGCGGCGGCGGCAGCAGCAGGATTCGGCGCCCACTTCGTGTGGGGTGTCATCGCGCGGAAGTCCAAGGAAGGAGAGAACGGGCCACCAGCACCACCTGCATTGCTTGACCCTGCGCCAGCCATTCCCAGGTGAGCGTGCGGATGATGCTGCCCGCCGGGTCCAGCGAATTGACCGTCTACCACGGGTTCACGACGTGGGCCACCGTGCGGCCCTCCCCCGCCAATCCCGTTGATCAGAAGTCCGGGCTTTCCGCCGTAATCTTTTGGAGAGAAAATTTGCTAGTTTATTACACTAACTCAGAAGCCCACGAGTCTTGCTCTGCGCGTTCATTTCTAATTTTTATCTTCCAAAGAAGGATGATGGAATTAGTGTTGTACTTTACAGTCATTCATGGTTTCCATCACCTCAACAAAGTTCGTTGCCTAGAACGGCTATGAAAATGAACACTTACGGTTTAACTCGCAGTTTGCATAAGAGCTGAAGAGATGGGAATAATTAAATTAAGAGCAAACTTGGGGGCTTAATTGCAAATGACGTCGGATCGACAATGCGCGTAACTCAATGACATAGGTCAAGTCATGTGACTTGACCTATGAACGTTGGATACGGTGCTTTATGGAACAAGCTAAATGAGGTAAAAAAAATTTTAAACGCTTCGGATCGGTCTATTCAAATTTGAAAAATATTCATTTGCGGGCGTCTGAAACATATATCGTTCTTCTAGGTTTGAGGGAACAAAGCTGGAATCACTTCAGGTGTGAAAATAACATTTTCAATACCATCCGTGTACTTTTTCATCATCTTGAAGACGACGTATGGTCATTACGCAAAATATTGACGACATAATTTCAAAAAATGTGAGTAGCTTTTTTCTCGACATAATACAGAATAATTTACGTGCTTCGTGATAGTCACGCAGAAGATACCTTGAGGTCCAGCACTGACGAGATACGACCCGGGTGACAAAACTCGTAACGGCGCTCCGGTTGGGCCGGCCGCCCCTGGACGAGCTCCCAGATTTTGCAACAACATGCCTTGCTCCGCCGCAGCGCCTCGATCCTCATAATATCCAGCTGGAAGCACATATCCCGCAGCAGCAGCCTCGGCCACCATCGACGGAGATATCGGGCGTCTGGCACCACCGGTCTGTTGACCATTGTTGCCATTCGCCGACGAGGCCGTCGATCCCGCTGACGCCGTTCCGGGCATACCGTTGGGTACCCCAGGGCTTTGACTCTGGTTGGGTTGTTGCATAAGATTCATCCCAGCGGGATACATTCCCCAGGCTGCAGGGGCTGGCTGAGGCAGTTGATAGTAGCCGCCCGGCATCGGGAGTAAGTGCGGATCTGCCAACAGTGTTTGCATATGATACGGGTCTTGAGGGTTAATAACGTACGGGCCAGGTCCGCCTCCTGATGTCATGGATTGCTGAGCAGCGGCCATCGCCTGCTGGTATTGTTGCGCCAGAAGATGCTGCATTGTTGCTGGTTGTCCACCTCCATTCGGCCCGCCGCCTTGATACATCTGGAAATTACGAGGGAAAATTAATATGGCAAATGTAGGGATGTAACGCTCCAGCACATGGCGCTTTCTTAAACAAGAGCGATTAATTTTTTGCAATGAGCCGTGCTGGATAGTCATCCTGCTCTCCACTCCACCAACATTTGACAAGTTCTCCTTCCCCAAAGCACGTCATTATAAACCTTGTATGTTTCCGAAAATTAAAGAAAAAATTGACCCTCGGAAGAAACTACTGCATAACGTTTGAGCGAAAATAAAATGGTAAGTATAAGAAGAAAAGTTGAGAATTGAAGTCAGATGAATGTCTGTCACCTAAACAGCATCAAAGAGAGCGGGATAATGGATGGGGAATAAGATAATGAGGCATGCTATGAGTATCTCTTTTGATAATTAAACCGTGCACTGTATCGTAATACGCATAAAAAAAATCATGAAGTGACGCTGGATCAGAAAAAAAACTTGGATCTAATCAGCACACTGCGTACACAAAATTGCAAGAAAATGTGAGATCCCTGGTCGATTATGCTCCTCAAGACCTGCTTAATTTTTTGAATACTGTATACAGTATTACTTTCAACGAGATGAAAATTTTCAAGATTTGAAGAAAAGTAAAAGTATTCCTTGTCGGAAAAATTGTGGATACTGAATCTCATAAAAATGAATTCAGACATATCAGTAATAATTTGTTTCAGCATACCGCATGGATTTCAGAAATGTGTCTATCTCTGTCGGTTATCTACAACGGAATGATATATGCGACTCCCTTTTCATTGTCGGATATTTCGGCTATCATACCTGACTCATCACTCGGAACAATCTTCAATAGCTTACCGACGACAAAGCAGTTCCAGTACAGTACTGTAATTTTTCTCTCAACTGGAAGACTAATGGTTGAAAAAAAGCACCACTAATTATCACACGAACAACGAGAAGATGATTCAAAAAGTTGAAAACTCTTCCTAGCTATGAAAATATTTTTTTAATTTTCAAAAAGCAAAACTGCAATCAAAAGTTTGAACCGAAGAAGTCCCTTTGATTAGAAAAAAAGCCTTATGCAAGATACAGTTTAAAAGGATTCAGTAGAAAGAAACGAGGGTCAGATTTACGAAATTTTAATTTTTCTTGAAACTCAAGCATAATACAAATCTCAGAGAATTAGTTTTTATACATAAAAATTCAACCAATCGCAAAGCTTCAAATTGTACCCGAAATCGTCACTGAAAAGTCTGAAGGTGGACAGTTGAATCGCGGATGAAGATGAAAATATTACAGTACTGTACTTGAACAAATCAGGAATCATACCATTCGCAATGAAAGAACCGGATACGTGGCAGAGGACCGCAGAAAAAACCTTTTTCCTTTCAGCTTCATCACGACGATAAAACCAAATCCGAATCTTATATATTCTAGATCGAAAATTTGATCTCTAAAGTGCTGGAAGCCTGTTGTAGACTGTTATGCTTTTCATTACCCTGAAAATGATTAATTGATGAAGTAGAATTCCTAATATGCTGGCAATGCTCAACCAAGGAAAAACTTGATTACAACGGGAGGAAACAACGTCAGACGTGCATAAATTTCAATGCCGCTTCACTTTCCTTCGTACGACTGATCGATCGGAACAAAACGCAGCTCGATCATTACTGTTCCAAGCTATGTCTTTCTTGAGATGTTAGTTGAACAACTTATTGTAATAGTTTACGTAAACTAGTAACCATTTTCCGTTGGTTAGTAATCAGGCCTATTAGGCTCACGGTGACATTAGTAGCTAAGGCTTGTTTGCCAGTTGCGGTCGTTACAGCACATTCACCCGTAAAACACATTTCAAAAATCATCACAGCCGAGAAAAAATACATGAAGACACAAATTCATATTTAGACTTATATTAAAGATTCAAGGCACCGAATAACTCTTTAAAATTTGGTTGAAGTTGAATTCATCAAGATTCCTCCATGAAAATTATATGCGTTCAAAATGATCGTCTAAAATTGTATGCTTTCAAAATGATCGCACTTGCACCCTCTAGAAATCCGCCAAAAACGTTTCACGCAAATAGCCTTACACACACGATTGCAATGCGAAATTAAACACCCAGTGACCAGGATCCAAGTTATAATATTCTGTTATCCCAAAACCCAAAAATAAAAGGCAATCCGTAAAAATTCAAAGTCGATGATTTCGAGTAAATTTCGAAGGTGACTTGAGCTTGGTAGAACGATCCGGTTCATGGTCGTGCATCAACTGAACTCCGGGAAATTTTGCACGAAACAAAATCGTACACCAAACCAGAGAAAACAAAAAAAAAGCTGTGCGAAAAGACAATCATTGGGTCACGTTCCCCTAAGGCAAACGACGGGCGGTGCGTCGACGGCAAACAGGTGCGACGGTCTGCGACGACACACTACCCCTCATCGGGATGCCGCCGAAACTATACAGAAGTTCTGCTTCGTGTGTATGTGTGTGTCTGCGCACCGTAAGGGGACTTGGGGTGCCTTCCTCGTTGCCAAAAGCGTACGTTGGAGCTATGTGGGCCGTGTGCCCTATATTGGTTCTTTATTGAAGTGAAAATCTCTCACTCGCAATAGGAAAAAGGGGAGAGAAAGGATTTGCCGAGCGTACATCGCGATTTCTACAACCGTACAGGTAACCCCTTCCTCCACAGCGATTTTCTGAACTTAACAATTCTCTGGTCCAAAATCAACTTCTAGCCACGTAAAAGTACTGCTTAAAAATGCTTTTTAAACGATTACCACAATTAATGATTAATGTACCACGCGCCTCCGTTTAAGATCGGCACCAATGATTACTGCAAAGGAAATGAGGAAGCATTTTTGCCTAAATACTGTATAATACAGTGGGCCCCCGACTTACGACGGGCCCATGTTACGTCGGTTTCATCATACGACAATTTTTTTTAATTAAAAAAACCCCCGACTTACGTCGGGGTTTCATGATACGACTATAAAAGCCCTTCAATTTTCCCAACTCCAGTCTTCCTCTCGTTTCCAACAACTGAAAAAGCCAGTAGCAATGGAATTATTCCTGCAATGACGAAGCACACATACACACACAGACGCGTGGCATTCCCCTGAACCCCACGGAAGGAGCAACGGTTTTCGCATGCAACCTCGATACACCCGGCACACGGGATATAACCAAGAAATAACTTCACTTTTCCTCTCACTCGCAATAGGAAAAAGGGGAGAGAAAGGATTTGCCGAGCGTACATCGCGATTTCTACAACCGTACAGGTAAACCCTTCCTCCACAGCGATTTTCTGAACTTAACAATTCTCTGGTCCAAAATGAACTTCTAGCCACGTAAAAGTACTGCTTATAAATGCTTTTAAAACGATTACCACAATTAATGATTATTGTACCACGCGCCTCCGTTCAAGACCGGCACCAATGATTACTGCAAAGGAAATGAGGAAGCATTTTTGCCTAAATACTGTATAATATAGCAAAAATTTGTATTCGAATGTGGCGCGAAAAATTAATTTATAAAAGCGGAAATAACTGAATGAACATCGTTGCGGGGGAAAATCTCGTTCTAGAGAACCCCATGGGAAATAAATCTATTACGCAGAGAAAACTGTAGTAGAGAGAGAGAGATCACCTGTGTGGCATTACAAATAAAAAATTCCTTTGGTACAGATTAACGGTGGATCGATGATTTATGCAACGAAGTCTGACTGCCTACGATGAATGTGTACCGATGAGTACGAGTAAAAGAAAAAAAAAACGACGATCACTCGGGTTTCGTCAATAAGATGCCGATTACCTGAAAGATTTATGAAAATATGCATGCTTTTGAGATAAATGACTCCCTCAAGAAGTCAAGAATACAAAGTGAAATCCAGCCAGTAAAACTGAGTTTTAAAAAGTACGCTGAAGGGTAACTAGGGGAAATTCGGAAAATGGAGTTCGCATTACGATTCGAATTCTAACCGAAAAGTTCAAAATATAAGCTAATCTGTATTTCGACGATTTGATTGGGGATATCACGACCAACAGCTCTCCGGAGAGAAACTTCCTTCGAAATTCCGGCCCATTCCTCACTGTGAATAACGCAGAGCATCAAGTTAGCTCTCACCGAGTGATCTTCATGGCAATCGCAATAGAGAAGTTCACAGAAAGCCCAGTCGCGAGAATCTCAGAACTTTTCGCTCAATACAGAAGTACTGTACTGTACTGCACTTGGACAACAGAGTAATCCAAAGAATGGATAATATTTTTCAGGGATTAATCAATTTCTCAAAATAAGTTTGTTCAAATCCGATTGCAAAATCTTGATGCCCAACTTAGCTCAATCAGAATTAAAAGTAAGCTTCAGTGCAGTGTTCAAGCAGCTATAAAAGAAACGTTTCCTTATAAAAAAACTTTAATTGTTACGAAAAAGTTAGATTAGGAATGATTTTGAAATATTAGAATCACCACATTTATAATTTTGGGGATTGTTTTCAGAAGGATCTGTCGGACAGGCGAAAATCCCAACACTCAATAAGCAAACCTGCGAGAAAACAGGTTTTTTTTGCCGACGTCATTATAATTGAAGCTAAATGCGTCTCTGTGCTCCATTTCTTATAGCAATTTTCTGTACTGTATTGTGTAATATCACTTTCATGAGATATTTTCTAAAAACAAAAGCAATTTTTAGTTGCATCCTATGCATAATAGGTTCTACCCAATTCTGCATAAAGTTATGTCTTAAATCGATAGCTTCTCATTATTCCGTAAGCACTGTACCAACCACCACAATCAAAATCTTCAACAATCGTAGCGCTGTTACGCGAACTTTTCTGAGGTCGCAGTTTTAACCGATCGCTACTGGTAGTGAGAGAAGACCGTGAAGCGATGATTAGCTTTAATTTCCCAAGCGATTGCTTCTATCAGCAAAAAGATAGACAAATGTGACCTTTTGTCAAAAATTTATCAGAAACTGCAGAAATCGTTCGTCTCACTTCTACCACAAAGCCGTGGACACTGTGAAAGAGGAAGAAA